GTAACTTCGTTATTTTTTGATGTATGGCTGTAGAGATTGGCGGATGCGGAACTATACTTAAGTTGTTAAAAAATATATGTCGAATAAAATTTATATAACGTAGGAAAAGTTTAAATCCTATTGCTCTTTAAAAAATTAAGTGTTAGAAACGTTCTGCTTTATAGAAAATGCTAAATATTACCTAAATATGTAACATATTATCCTTAAATTACCTCGCGTTCTTATTTTTGCATGAATAGAAAATATTTAAGTCAAACAATTAATGTCAAAAACGAAAATAAAAAATTCCATCTAACACGGAAAATTAGTTTTTGCTCAGATTTTTAGTCCTGAATCGAGTTTTGGAGCTCCGAACACTGTTCTCTACATTTGTACTGCTTTACAAACCTCAAACCGCAGTGTGGACAGCAATAGTTAGTGATGTGGTTAAGTTCGATTTGAGATGGTTAACTTTTTGGTGGGGACATGTTATAAGGTTGGTGTTATGCAGAAATTTTGTTTGGCAAACTGCATGCAATTGTTGTTGCAGCAAACTCGGAAAGAGCGAGTTTGGCGACTCTCACAGCAAACTAATTTTGTTTGGTCAAACTGCAGCAAATTCGGTGTTGTCATATACAAATATTTTAAATTGTGCGCGTTATGTACATCTGAAATTCTCATTTCATGTTGGCAATAGCCATGAAAACCATAATGAACGTGCAACCCTGTGCCCAACTCGACATAACCACCTCCGAGCAAACTAAGCAGCCGCCATTTAATTTGGCAAACAAAAGTTTGTCTGCATAACACCGACCTAAAATAGCCCAGAAGTCATTCCCGTACTCAACATAATGGGTAATAGAAAATTTGAACGTATTGGATCGTAAGTGTCTTCTTCTTCCTGCCTAAAACAGCCCGGACTTTTTCTCCGGGTAAAAATGGATAAAGTGTCAAAGTGCATATCAGCTGTTTTATGTTTACATGTTGCCTATTTCTAGTAATGTGCTGAGTCAATACTTTCAAGTATTGACCGATAGTCGGTACCGATTTAAAAAGTATCCAGTACTCTCGATACTCGGTATCGAAACATTTCGATTTCGAATAAAAGCGCAAATAGGCAAAAAATATTCAGGGGAGACTCGCTTATAAAAACCAGAATATAGGAGCCAATAGAGCTTTTAATACGGGTTCAAATAAAAGATGTACACATGTCGGTTCGAGGCCATAATGCAGAGACACTCTTACTTGTTTGAAGCATTTGTGTTCCACCTGAATCGGACGATATCATTTTTGTAGGCCTGGGGGCAGATTCTGTAACCAGTTAGCGACAATTTTCGAATCGGCATCGGTTTTGTTGACGTATGATATGAAATATATTTACGTCAACAAGTGCGATATCGATCCGAAACTTGTCGCTAACTGGTTACAGAATCTCGCCCCTGAAAGGCTTCTTCGTCCGTAAAAGCATTTTTCTTGAACCTTAGATCAACTTAAGCAGTGTTTGCATTATTCAACTTTGCGTTCAACAATTGCGTTCAACTCAACGCAGGGTTGCACGAAAAAAAAGTTGAATGGCTAAATGTTGGCTGGCGACCAACTTTGTTGAAAGCGATTAGTTGAAAGGCCATTCAACCAAAAGTTGAATGCAAAGTTGAACAATGCAAACACCTTTTTATGGCGAATATTTTGATATTTTTTCATATTTTGATAGTTTTAGCCATTTAACTTTTTTTTCGTGCAACCCTGCGCCGAGTTGAACGCAAATGTTGAACGCAAAGTTGAACAATGCAAACACACTTTAAGATTAAAACTGTTAAAATGATATTTCTCTGTTGCGATAAGTTCAAGTGTTTTAGCAGATATCATATAAATTTGTAAATTAAATTTTTTTCTTAACTTAAAATGCATATATCGGTATCGGGTACCGAAAAAGAAGTATTGGGTGCCGAAAACATTTTTAAGTACTGGGTACAGAAAATTCAGCACATCACTAGCTGTCTCATAAATTCTGGGCACGAAATGTGGTTTTTTCCGTTCCCGTTCTGGATTATTTTCCATTTTTGAGAGCAAACTTTTCGCATATTCTCTAATTACCGGATCCGGTCCGGATTGTTAGGAAAAGAACCTATTGTTGAAATTGGACGTAATTGGTCACGCTTAAGCTGATGCCAGATAAAACTTTGTAGCTTTGCGTGACATTTATAACTTTGCCAGCAAAGCGCCAGACGCAAAAGGTATGCAACAATGAACGCCAAGAAAACAATTTTGTACCGCTTTTTTTACTCGTCAACGTTGCTGTGGGTTTTATATATTTTACTTTGAAATTATTAATAATGTAATTAAGTTTTATGTTTCTGAATGACAACTCGAATTTGGACGAAACAAAATAAATATTAAACCGGCCAATTCTCAAAGCGCGCAAAAATATGTGAGTTAGCCATCTTCTCGCTTCGCGCTGCAGCTTCAACGATCTATGTGGCATGCTTTGTGCATTTTCATACAATTCATCTTATCTGTCAAAGCGAATCTGTCACGTAAAGCGAAGCAAAAGTTTTATGTGGCATCAGCTTTATTGCTTGACATCTATTGCAGGCAATACGATAGTTTGACAGCCATATTTTTATATGAAAAAAGCGTGCTGGTGGTAACATCGATGAAATTTTGATATTAAATTAAAATAAAAATATGTTCCCTATTGGATTATTTATGATTACGTTTTAGGAAATTATTCAGCAGGTTTTTAAAGATTTAAATGTTTTTAAACACCGAAATTGAGAGAATGTTGTCTGGTGGCGTCATGCGGCAAATGCATATTAGGGCCTGTGCCAATTGATAGAAAAGTTCTATGGTGGAAAAACTTTTTACTATGGTGAGAAAATTTTACATTTCTGCTGTGCCAATTCGTAACTTTTTACTGCTGGAAATTTTTGACAGTTGCTTTGATGCACAAGAAGACTATCGAGTTTGCTATTTATAAAATGCAGCAATTAT